CCATCCCCGGAGTAGCATCTGGTCCGTCTCCTCCTGTGAGATCTGTAGGAGGGCCGCCCATTTCGTCACCTGCAGTGGGAAAGACCTAGGATGCATAGAGGGTAGGTAGTTGCGCATGGAGCGGACAATGTGGGAGAGCGGCATTTTGTGTGTGGGCGAGGAAAGGAGCTCCTGAAGAGGAAGCGTAGGTGTAGGTCTGGGGAAAGGGAGGTTCGTTTTAATAAAGCGTGAGATCTGAGCATATTGTAGGAAATGGTTAGGGACGATGTGAAATTCAGTTTGCAAGTCTTGAAATTTTTTGCAATGACCCTGGGGGTCTAGTAGGTCTTGGATGTGGGATATACCTCTGGTGTGCCATTCAGTAAACACAGGGGATGCATTCCCTTGGGGGAAGGCCGGTGAAGATGTAATGGGCATAAGGGGGAAACATACCCCTGGGAGCTCAAATAGCTTCCGAACTTCTCTCCAGGTGACAATAGTATCTCGTAGAAGAACATTATTTTTTATGGTCGGAGGTAGGGATCTGAAAGGCATGTGCACAACACCTGATAGGGACCAAGAGTACACTAAACTTTTCTCCAGTTCTGAATTAGTGAAGAAAGAGGTGTCGTTAATCCAGTCTCTAACATGCCTGAAGAGTCTTGCTAGATTGTATAACCTTACTTCTGGGATGTTAGCTCCCAGTGACTTCGAGGGGAGTTGGAGTCTCCGCAGAGCGATGCGAGGGCGCTTCCCCCTCAAAATACCGTATTTTTCCGTCTATAAGACGCCCCCATGTATAAGACGCCCCCAACTTTTCTTACCCAAAATTCAGAAATCAATATTTTAAATGATATTATGCATCACACTTACCTCTGAGCCAATCACTTTATTCAGCCTCTGTTGCATCACTGGTTTCGTCATCACTTTTAGCTTCAAACATATCAGTGTCTTCAACTTCTGCTGCATCACTGCTGTCTGCTGAGTCACTGTCTATATATACAAGATCATCCTCAGTTCCGTCCATGGCTTTGCTGATTCCACATTTCTTGAAGGACTTCACAATCATTTCTTGTTTGACACCATACCATGAGTTTAGAGAGTTTACAGGTTGTTCTTCACTTTCTGACATTTTTATGGTCACAGAATGCTCCGACGTTACCGCTCTGTTCACTGCCTACACGATCTCCCCAGCAACAGCTCACGTCAGGTTCAAAAGATTTATGACTGGAGGAGAACTGTTATCTTGTCTCTGCACTCCGTGAGGATAGTTTTCAGTGGTATCAGCACTTTCAAAACCGCGGCCCCCATGTATAAGACGCAGCTCTATTTTTAGATAAAGATTTTTATGAAAAAGTAGCGTCTTATACACGGAAAAATACGGTAAATTTGGAGAAGGCCATATGTAGAGTGCAAATATCCTTATGTTTAAGCAAGACAGGGATGGTCTGCATAGGGTATAGTAAGCGTGCAAAACTGATCATCTTGATCAAATGACACCTGCCCAGTATCGAAAGGGGGAGATCGCGCCAAGAATGGAGCTCCTGAGCGATCTTGTGGATAAGTGGGGGGAAGTTTAGGTGATATAACTCAGTGGCTTTGGAGGAGATGTGTATACCCAGATACGTCACCGCACGGTGCTGGATGTTGATTGAAAAATGTGGAGGCCATCCGGATGTGTCTAAGGGGGACTGGGGGGGGGGCGTTAAGAGGAGTTCGCTTTTGTGGAAGTTAATATAGACTCCTCTTGTGTATATAATTTGGCGTAAAATCTACTAAAGATCTTGCATATAGCGGCTGGATCAGTGTGAACAACCCCCCGTTCATCGTGCAATTTTGGAATGTGTGCTGGAGGACATCGTCCCCGAGCCAAATTGGCCAGAAGTTTCCCCGCCTTGTTGCCAAATTTAAATAATTGCAGGTTTTTTTGGGATCTAAGGATGAGATCGTGTTGGTGCAGCCAATGGTCACAAGATTGCTTGGCTGCCAGCCAAGACGACTGGTTAACGGGTGGGGGACAATTTGTAAGCGAGGTAGGCTTGTCTGGCTGCCGTACTTGCTTCCGCATATCTAGTCCTGGTCACACATTTTTTGGAAGATGCATAAGCTAAGATTCGGCCTCTCAATACTGCTTTTGCAGTTTCCCAAAATAAGACACTATTGGATACATGTGCAGAGTTATCAGACGCGTAGTCACTCCACCACCCTGTGAGCTCCATTTTAAAAGTGTCATCTCTTGACAGGTAGTTAGGAAATCTCCAGGTGGTGGGATGACTAGGCGTACCAACATTTTTATAGTTACCAGGACCGGTGCATGGTCGGATATAACCAGGTCTTCTATTTGTACCGAGTCCATTCTGGGGAGCATAGACGTGGGGGGAAAAAATAAGTCAATCCGGGAAAGGGAGTTGTGAGCGTGAGAAAAATGGGTGAAGTCCCTGTCCATGGGATGTAGATGTCTCCAAATATCCGTGAGTCCCGAGGCCTCTATCCAGGTGGCCAAGTGCGCATCCTGTAGATTACGTTGTTTAGGAGGGGAGCCAGATTCCCAGGATCGGTCTTCCAATGAGGATGGGGTAGCATTGAAGTCCCCACCGATCAGTAGCATTGCATCTGGTGAGCGTGCCGACAATTTGGATCGGAGGGTGTCTAAGAAGGGACGGTTGTCTGAATTCGGGGCGTAGATGTTCCATTGCTATAATGAATGGGTGCCAATCTGAAGGGATAGAATAGACCATCTCCCAGCGGACTGGTCAAATTGGTGATGTAAAATCTTGTGAGGCAGGGATTGTGTATGAGGGTAATCACTCCAGCGGAACGTCCAGCTGCAGGGGATCCTAGGGCCGTACCCACCCAAGATTGGCACATACGGCTGATGTCTTCCGCCTTGAGGTGCGTTTCCTGAAGGAATGCGACATCCGCTTTCAATTTCTTAAGATGACGAAGAATTTGTCTCCTTTTGTTCGGTGATCTCAGTCCCTTAATGTTCCACGTTACTATCTTCAGGGTGGGTCCCATGGAGGTAGGGGTTGCAGAAGCAAGAGGTAAGATATATAGCAAGTGGAGATAGAATAGTCTTCTCCGGTTGTCCCAGTGCTTCCGAAGAGACTGTGTGGGCCGCGGTCAGAGTTGAGGGCCCCCGCGGTACGGTCAGCTATGGTAGGCACGACTTAAATGTAGTCATAAAATAGGTCAACTGTACCCTGAGCTGATGTAGGCAGGGCAAGGATCGATTGTGTACGTTTTTGGTCAAAAAGAAAATAAAAATTAACAAAAAGAAACCATAAAAAAACAAACAAACAGCGGTCCACTTGTGAGGACATCCTTTTTCCCGAATGCGGGCAACTGTAGTCAAACTTTATATGGAAACCAATTGGTGTCCACAGTGCAAAGTCTGTGTGGCAGGGAATACACAACCTAAGTGTTTCCCCCGTCCCGCCACTACATAGAACAGGTCAAAAGCCTCGCCATTGCCAATGGAGGGTAGGTAAATCAAGGCCCACGGGCATATGTGAGTCCGCAACTGTTCGTCAAAGTCAGGCTTTCTTTTTCCTGGGTGGGCTTTTAATTGGGGAGGCAAAAGGTTGATTCTCCCTGGACTCAAGGAATTTCATCGCTTGGGAAGCCGAGGTGAAACGCCATTCCTTCCCATCTTACGTGGAAAAGCGGAGGGTCGCCGGGTATTGAAGGGCAAATCTGTTGCGTCTGTGCACCAAGATCTGGCAAACCTTGTGAAAGGATTTCCTTAGCTTAGTTGTTTCAGCCCAGTAGTCAGCGAATAAGAGCAGTTTAAGACCATTAACAACAAGGTTGCGCTGCGCGCGGTATAGAGTGAAGATAGTTTGCTTGTCGTGATAGTCCAAGTAGCGAACTAACACTGGCCGCGGTTTGTTGTCATCCTTAGGGGGACCTAATCTATGAGCCCTTTCCACTCTGCATGGCTCAGACTGGCCCAGTGCCTTAGGAATGAGTATAGAGCAAAAAGATCGGAGCTCCTCTGGCTTAATTGATTCTGGGACCCCAATGACCCTTAAGTTATTGCGTCTAGAGCAATTCTCCAGGTCATCAACTTTTTCCATCATTGCGTGCAGTTGTTTGGTGACTGTGGTATAGGATCGGTGTGCTTCTGCAGCGTCATCTTCTAGATCGCCCACCCTCTGTTCCACAGCCTGCAATCTCTGCGTCTGTGCCTCAAGTGTGGCAGTAATCTTGCCCATATGAGTGTGCAGGGTGTCAGCTATTATAGCAGAGATATCAGCCTTCAGGTGTTGCGATACTGCAGAGGCCAAGGCTGAGTAGTCAATGGGGGAGACAGGGAGAGCGGATGGCAGCGTCTCACTCACCATGTCTCCACGAGGAGATTCTTGTTGCATCGCCTCGGACGCCATATTGGGGTTGGCAGGCTCATCGGCCTCGGTTTCCAGGAGGGCTCTCCTTGCCCTCTGCGGGCGTTCTACATATCTGTCCATTGCGGGCAGGTGTTCCGGGGCTCGAGCGGCCGGAATTGCGGTTGCGATGCGGCGAGGGTGTCAGTTGTTGGAGCTGTGACGGGACAAGGGATGGAGGAGCGCCGTTACAGCATCAGGCGCCGGAACCGGAAGTGCAGATAGTGTTTTGACCAGAATTTGAGCCGGGGACCCCCAGTGCTGCAATGCAGAAGTGCTAACCACTAAGCCACTGTGCCCCCAGACTATTTTTTTAAGATAGGAACCATTCAAGAGCAGAGAAAATTATTTGTTAGTGAAACATGTTTTTGTTTGAGATTAAGGTAGCTGGTGTTCAAAGTCTATAAAACCCAGCTGTGCAGATCTGAAAGCGAATGGGTGAACAGTTGTGGGTTACATTTCACTCTAGGATCTTATCTGCCACAGATTATTTTATCTGTCTTTTTGACAATGCAATAAATAAGAGTATTTTCTACAACTAAACTATCTAAAGAGTAACTGCATGAACAAAAATGTAAATAAACATGTCTATAATTTATTCTGCAAGCCTAACATTCTTTTCATTTTTGATTCCAGCAGGAGAGGCATCATGAAGTGACAAGAAACAAAGGTAGGCCTCTTTATTTTAGGTTGTTTACTTTGCTTGATGAGCAAATGCAAGTGAGGGGTGTCAAAAACATTCATTGAGAGATAGGAAAGGGAATTGGTTACTTCTCTGTCGGTGCGGTTTAAACATTCTAGCACTGTGTTTCACAGCTTCAAATGTTGGTTAACTAACGGAGTTCTAGGCAGCATGCCCAGAAAACATTCAGTTCAATACAATAACACCGTAGGAAAACAACAGTTGTATTACAATTGTATTACAAGTGACATAAGTATAGAAATTAAGAAAGTAAGAGACAAATGTTATAAATAAATTCCCACATTAGGATATGGTTACATTTCATAGATAACATGGATACCTATGTAAAATGTTAGGCTTAAAAAAAAGTTCCTAAAATAATTACTTTGAACTGAATGCTTTTTGAAATAAACAAATGACCAAAACAGAATTTACATTTAGAATAAAATGAAATTATAATACAGTTACTTTAAGGGCTAAATATCCATGATCGATTTTAATCTCATGCAGTAAGCATTTTTCTTGGCAATCACTGCATCTTTGAAATCAAAGCACCATGTACAGTGCCTTCCACCACCAATCAATGTCTGACTGTTAACAGCAGTTATAGTATGATTGCACCTTTTCATGAATGCACTCATCATCTCTGTGTGTTCCTGTTGCCATCTGAACAATCTATACAGGAGCAGATCCCATAGATTTGGAAGTAAGCAAACACATTTGACCAATATTAAACCTTTTGACCTTACAACATGGTAATCCTTTTTGCTAATGTGCTTGGGCATAGGTCAATTTCATTAAAGTTTGTCTCCATGTAAAAAGCATTTTGGACTATAAATTCCTGCTTGTTCCCTTTACTATTATCCTCAGTACTGAGCTCCTTTTACTTGGTGAAGCTGACCATTTTTTCAATTGCTTCCTGGACGGAGTTGACAACACTGTAGGACTGCTGCAGACATTGCAACAGCATTGTCCGCTGCTCCACAGCCATGTAAGAGAATGCAGTCTTAGATCAGTGGTGGGTGCCTGCTCCCAAGACAAATATGCACTCACCAAAGTGCCTGTCCACCAGCCATACCTAATGAAGATATAATGTGAGCCTAAGTGGTCACATGACCACAATAGCAAGAGAAGATATTTAATAATGCTTGAAATTAAACTAAACTCAGGAGTTAGGTCTTAAAAATGCATTTAAGTACCCTAACTATTAACTATTAGACCTTATTTGCATATCACTCAGCTGTAGATCCCCAAATCATCTATGAATTTGTGCTGACACTGTCCTTCCTTCTGGAGGGTGGCTACTTTTGTTCCCCATGGTCCCTGTGTGTGTTGTAAAGTAGCCACCACTCCAAGCTTGCCCTGTGATGAACTACTATCTCATGTTTAGTTTACTAACTTGTATTGAAGCTTTAGTTCATTGCATAAGTGAGCTTGGAGCAATGTCTACTTTGCAACACACACAGGGACCATGGGGAACAAAATTAGCCACCCTCCAGAAGGAAGGACAGCATCATCACAAGTTCAGAGATGATTTGGGGATCTACAGCTGAGTGATATGCAAATAAGATAAATTTTTTTAATAGTTAAGGTTCCTGAATGCATTTTTAAGATTGTCTTTAAAATGTCACTTTAAAGTGAAATATTAACAAAGCAAATTCCTTTAATTAACATGCTTGGGGATGCCCTAATCCTGTGAAGGGAAACACTGTTTGTCTGCAATTAAATTTTAGTGCTTGTTCCGTGGCTTTTAAAAAAAAAATTTAAAAAAGAGCATGGAGTTCCTTCAAAATAAAAGAAAGGGCATATGGAGCTGCGCAATCCATATCCTCATTAGGGTCTGGTATACATTTTCAGGGGTGGTCCCCATGCTGCTTCTTCTTTTTTAAAGAGTCTGTGGAGGGGACTATCAGAATCTTGAAGCCCCCTTTAAGATAAGGGACCCCAGAATATCTGCCCCCTCCCCTACATGAATGAGTAAGGGGTACAGATCATTATTACTCATTAACAAAATAAATAAAATGTAAATAAACACACCCACATTTTTAAAAGGGCACATGAAGTTAGAAAACAGCGCTATGTAGTCCTTTAATGGTGACATTTACAAAAACAAATAAAATAAACAGAATTGTGGGGTTCCTCTTAAAATTCCTACCAGGCCCTTATACATGCATACAGCTCACATGCACACATGTACCACCAGCCCATATGCCTTTTAACATAAGTGACACCTTGCACAGGGTGCAGTCAAGTCTCCCCCCTTTAAAAGCACCTTGTCCCATTGTTGATAGACATGAGCCTCTTTCCCACATTCTGTCCCTGGTCCCTGCTGCTACTCCTGTTGCAAATGTCAGGATCTCAGGCACTACTAAAATATAAACAACAGTGCCGGTGATCCTGGATGATGTAATTGATCAAATATGGTCATGACCATAATTGGTCAATGATATCGCCCATAATCCCCCAATGCTTTGGTTACATTATAGCAGCTATGGATTCAGGTGGACAAAACTGTTCAAATATGTCCCGTTTGGCCATTTGCCAAACTGCGAACAGGCTGGCTTCTGGTTGAACTTGCATTTGGCCCATACCCGAAGCTCATCCCTGTCTATCAGTTTTCTGTATATGAAAATACAAAATATTCAAATGATATATATTATATTTATCTGAAAAAACAAAACTTACTGTTGTTTAAAATAGTCAAAACTCTTCTAAAATCCATTTAGAATATATTTGTCACACTGAAATTATATAGGATATATACTGTTCTATAGTAAGTCTACTAAAAAGAACTTTGTTAGAAAATAGAGACTGCTTGATATGTGCCTACACAACCTTCTCTGAGAAAAGAAATGTTCAGAGTCACTGAACACTGGTTACCGTTAGCATCATGGAGACTTTAGTACAATACTTCTAATTATTGTTTGGTAAGAAAGAATACCATGATTCAAAAGACACATCAACCAAGTATTGCTGACAGTCTATAAAAAATGATTTTGAAAAAAAAAAATCATGTTCTTGTGCATAGAACAAATGCATTCCTATCTAACAAAGAGGTCTTTCAGCTCTTAACAAAAGCTTTAGTGAACAAATCAAACGTTCTGCCAGAGCATTAGCTAGGAACTAAATAGTGAATCTATTTTTTTTCTATTACCTCACTGTGTTTATCCCTTGAAGGTCTAATTTTCAAGTTCCACAATTGAAATGATCTCTTATATATTGTTAATGAGAATATAACTTTGCACCAATATAAGTGCATTTTTAGGTTCACATAAAACAAAATACATTAAATATGTTTTGTACATTTTATGCAATTTTGAAGAGCTTCTTAGTCATTAAAGTAGATTTTTTTTTTTTAAAAGGCAACTGTTTACAATACACTGTGCTTTAGCAAACTAAATGCCATCCGGGTTAAGGTTTAAATGTACTTTAAACAGATCACTGCACAATATTGAAAAGATCGTGGCTACTTGCAGGGTAGCTTGAGGATAAATCTGCTACATAAATTGCTGCTAACAATCCAAGGTGCATAAGCATAGGTAGGACCAGAAATTCCTTAAGGGAACAAAATAGATTGATTGCCACAAAATCTAGAAAAACAAGAACATAAGCGCACGACTGATACTTGGTCACTGGATAAATCACGGGTTGTAAATTATGGTGTGCAGGCTCTCACTGACAGGGAGAGGACCCTGCAAATTCGACGTATAAACAGAAAAAGACAAGAGAGAGAGCGCTACTACCTAGAGAAAACTTGTATTGAATGGCATCTATTCATAAGAGAAAGAACAAATGTGTGTAACTTACGGTTGGAAGTCTGCAAATGTGTCAAGGATGGTGAAACAGTGACCGGTATCTAGAGAGAGTCCAAAGCAAAATGCTGCAGCGATGGATGGATGAGGGGGCACTGTGAAAAATCCTAGCTGGCCAGGCCGGGCCACGGCCTCTTTATCAAGCCTCAGGGCAAAGATGTGTGGCGGGAGGCACGGAGCACTTTAAATCTGACACATGGAAGGGGAGTAACGAGCTATTGGCCTATCATGGGACAGTGTTCAAGGAGAGGGAGGGACAGATGAATGACGGGACACGCCCCCCGGGGGCGGGCACAACAGAGGCTGTGCTGTTAGCGATCTAACTTTCTCTCTGGATGGATCAGAGGTCTATCTTGCAATAAAGATTATGTCCCTCATGATGTATGCAAAAAATGAGTGGGGGTGGGGGGTAGGGGAACACGTTATCAGATTTGGAATCCTTTATTTTGGAAAAAATGATTAAAGACCATTAAAAACGATTTTGATACATCAGTGATACATCAGTTTAAAAAGATTTTAATATATCGGTTTGAAACAGCGGGGGGAGAAAGAAGAGGGCTTGATCAATTTATTTACACGGCTTATCCTTTAGTACTAGAGATTGGGTTTTAATGAACATTTCATTCCTAATTTTGGTATTGGTATAATATTGCTTACAAATGGGGTAGGAATGTGTTTATTTTTGGCATATGGAGGTTCCGAACTGGTATATACCACTAGCATGCTATAAAGAGGGTGAGAATCTTATAAAAAATGGTTAATGTTAAAATCAATATTATAATTAATATTAAAATTAATATTAAAATTTTATTGAAATCAAATGCCTATTTGCGCATGGGCGAACGCACCTGTGTGTGTGTATCCGGTATATGAATGCACTCTTATGAAAAGCACTGGGAATGCAGCAGACAGTTGGAATAATTCAGTGCCGTGGTGTATGACACATGAAAAGGGTGACGCTACACAATTTATAATATAGTGTGAATCTCTATTTCCTCGTTAAGGCCAACTGGTGAAAGAGAGTTTAATTTGTAAATCCAGAACGTCTCCCTTTTACATAATGAGTGAAACCGTTCCGATGGTGATAAGTGGATAGAGGTATGCTCAATGGCAAAAACATGGAGATCCTGGATGTTTTTGTGGTGTTTCAAGGTAAAATGTCTGGGGACACTGTGA